AACACCTCATCACCTGCGCCCTTGCATTGATTGGTCAGTACAGCACTATTTTACATTGATTCCACTATTGGGCCACTATTACCGATGCACAAATTTAATGAGTTTGCCAATCTCAATTCAAATGTGTGCATCCCTGAACAGCGAGACAAGCTACCAAAAGTGCTTTTCACAACCCTCAGCATTGATTTGGATTATAAGTACAGCACTATTTTAGCTTATTTCTGAAAGATGTCATTCATCACAGTTTGATGATAATATGAAAGTTTTTTCTGTTTCAAGATAGTCACTTTACGAGACCAGTATTTTCTAATAAGGCATGTTGTCTGCCACGCAAGGCTCAAACAAGGCCTGTTCAGTATACCTAAGCTTGTTTATTTTTAAAGGACGTTTTCATTGTTATTATCTATCAGTTGAACCTGTGAGCGAATTAAAGATTGTGGTGCAGCATAAAAGCAAGTACGTCGAAGTAAATGAAACTATCACGATAGTGGTTATCAACGACAAGAACGTCACGTTTAGCGAGTACAAGTATGATCTCGGGGATGGAAGTCCTATCGTTATCACAGACCAGGACACCATACATCATAAGTACTCAAAACACGGAGTTTTCTCTGTGGGAACTACAATATACAGCCGTTGCAGGAACGAAACATTACGCATCAGTAAGTCTGTATCTATAGAAAAACCCATAGTGCTTTTAGGAAATCTGACCCTTGTGACTGAGCCTGTACCATTTCCATCTCCACTTTCGGCCGTTCTGATATCAGATCAGGGCACAGATTTTAAATGTTACTGGAATTTCGGCGATGGCCATCAAGCAGAGACAGACTTTGTCAATCATGGAACAAAACACAACTTAACGTATTCGTTCAACGGCACAGGGAATTACTACTTACATGTTAGTTGTGTGAACAGACTAAGTCAAGCCAATATTTCAACAATGGTAATCGTACAAGTACCCATTTTCGGGCTTGCTATCGAAAGAATAACTCCTAAAGGTTATCTGGAGCAGTTTAAAATCACATGGCTTGTCCAAAGTGGGAGTGATATTCAATACACTGCGAGCTTTGCTGGACAGCAGCTCAAGACCTTTAAAACAATAAACGAAACTTACGGTTGGGCATGGGTGCAATCAGACAATCACGTGGGTCTAGGTGAACAAAGCATCATAGTTTCAGCATCCAATAAAGTGACTGTAACTCTGCGTAGCAGAAGCGCAGTTCGCATAGAGAAACAAGTGGAACCATTCTCTCCAGTTTTGTATCATTCGAACAGATACATTGAAGTTAACGAGTCTTTCGTTCTTTTTATGACACACACCAACGCGGAGAACGGTGCGAATCCCATATACAGTGTCGACCCGGGGGATGGTAGAAGCCCGATTACAACAGGAAATTTGAAAACAAACTTGAGTTATTCAGCCTATGGAGATTTTATGATTACCATAAATGCGTTCAACAACGTTTCGGTCTACAACACCTCTGTCTCGATCAAAATTCATAAACCCGTTTTGTTGGTAGAATACCTCACCCTGTACACAGAACCTACAGTATTCTTGCAGCCCACTATAATAACTGCCCACATAAGAAGGGCTTCCGATGTTATTTGCAATGCTTCATTCAGCGACATTCCTAACTATAGCCAAATATATGACCTTCGTGGAGAAACCTTCTGGGATCCAGTGAGCGGACAAAACAATATTTCGAACAACCCACCTGAGCTGACATTTACTATCAAGCGCAATTTTTCTGCAACTGGCGTTTATTCTGTGACAGTCACCTGTCAGAATCGTCTCAGCGAAAAGACATCAAACATCGACGCCATAGTACAGGAACCAGTGACTGGGGCACGCTGGATCCCAAATGAACCGTGCATACTCGGAAACCCAATTAACATTACATTGGAAATAACATCGGGAACTAACACCTCGTTTAAAGTATCATTTAAGGGTTACAGCTTTATCCACAAAAACGTCAGACAAAGGGCTTTTCACATCATCTATCAGGATATTTATCGGTCGGTGGGTTTTCATCAATTTACATTAACCGTTTGGAACCGTGTCACCCAGCCGATTGTTCTCCATGGTTATGCGATCGTGGAGATTCCCATCCACGGTCTTGAGGCATACGTTCTTGGAGGGCCACATGGTATTGAGGTAAATGAAAGTGTGAACATTGGTATCAAATTGAAAAACGGAAGTAATCCAGAATTTCTGGTTGATCTTATGGATGGGAGCGAAGCAACTGTCACGAGAAAACATACTGTTGTGCATAAGTTCAATCCTCATTCTCTGTATGTAGTGAATATCACGGCGAGAAACAATGTCAGTCAGGAAGACACCCTGCTGAACATCCACGTCGTTAAGCCGGTCATTCCACTTCAGAAGGTTTCCATCAGTTCGTCACCCACTTCTTTAAGCAACACAAGTGATATCTTCCTTTACTTGTCGGAAGGTTCTGATTTCTTTTGCGTCTGGCAGTTCGGGGATGGGTCCAGCCTGAATTCCAGCTATCAGCGACTTAACTACTATTCTGACGGCAAGACGACAGACAAACGACCTTTTCAAAATCTGACATTTATTGTCCAACACACTTACACATCTACAGGAATTTTCCACATATCCGTTAAATGCCAAAACCGCCTGAGCTCAGAATACGCTTCTGTACCAATCGTTATTCAAGCCCTTGTTAAAGGGCTGAACATCACAAAGGTTCCAGTACAGATCGTCGGCCGAGAATTTCCAGTCTATTGGACCTTATTATCAGGAACAAACGCAACATTTGAAGTCAATATTTCTGGAGCAACCATCAATTTTCTCCACATGTCTGAGCTATGGGGTTTTGTTCGAGTGGTTCTCGCCAATCCTGGGAAATATGTCATTCGGGTAGGAGCTCGCAACCTGGTAAGTCCAATTCAAACCAGGTCAGCTGTGATCCTGGCGGAAGTTCCAGTTGGAAGCCTGACTGTTGACGTCTCCTTTGAGTCACGGGACCTAGAAATGGACCAAAATGTCACCTTCACTACCCAAGTCAAAACAGGCACAAATCTTGTCTATCTGTTTGACTTTGACGATGGCAATAAGGTTAAAAATTACGTTGGAAAAGTAACGCACAAATACGGTTACAATGATGTTTACGAGTCAAGGCCTAACGTGAGTTATGAAGTTCTTGCGACGGCTAGTAACAACGTCTCTACTGTCACAGTTTCAGTAAATGTCAGAGTACATAAACCAGTCCTCCCACTTCAGAAGGTAAAGCTGTCTGCGTACCCATCTAATGTCTCTGAACAAGCGCCGATTATTCTTATGATCGACCAAGGGTCAGACTTTCATTGCATCTGCTACTTTGGAGACGAAAAGATACCACGAAACTTAAAACTTACGAAGAAGGTATTTTTAGGAGAAGATAGGACGCCCACAGAAAACTTTCGAAACCAACGTTATCCAGTAAGTTATGCATACGACAAAGCATCAAAATATCGACTTCTTATCGAGTGCAGAAACAGACTGAGTTACACGAACGCCACAGAAGAAATTATTGTGCAAGACCCAATCAGAAATTTAAAGATCTTTGACATTCCTGCGATACGGTTTAACGAAACGTTTGTGATATCGTGGGAAATTGCGAATGGTACCGATGCTGAATTCCAAATTACCTTTGCAAACTTGACTTTTGTATTATTTGGGGAGAATAGAACGGTTACTGTATCACCTGATCACTATAGAACGGCTGGTGTTTTCAAAGTTGTAGTGGTTGCTCAGAATCTGGTGTCGTGGACTGCAGCCCAGAAAACTGCAGCCATTCAAATTCCCGTCCAATTTGACAAAGTTATCGCCAGTTTACCACAACCCGGTGGGTCTTACGCTGGCTTCGGTCTCCGTGGGGACCACTTTCCTGCTTGTCGTTCCATCATGTTCGAAGTTCTGGCCAAAGGAACTAACTTATCATGCGAATGGAAAACTGACGATGTTGACCAACAACTCGGTTCTAAATGTCTTCTTTCGCTCAAATTTTACCAGGTTGGGGCACACAATTTGTCGGTGCTGATTAAAAATATGGTGAGTGAGGAACACGCTAACATCACAGTGATTATTCACTACGCCATTGAGAATGCCACATTACAAAGCAACAGTCCTAAAAAACTCAAGCAGCCAGTCGAATTTCACCTTAGTGCCGAGCAGCTAGGCACAGAGTCCTGCTTTTCTGTTGATTTTGGAGACGGAACTCATTCCTTATATGGTCATCCAGGGTGCAAAGTAACAAGCGCAACATCAGACCTTATAGTCATACCAGCGGTTGAGAGCGTCCAGTTTAAGCATGTGTATGATGAAGTAGGAGAGTACGTGGTTACGTTAAACGCCTCAAATGCAGTGTCTTTTGTAAAGCTTCAGACAGATGTGGAGGTTGTGTATGCTCCTTGTGCAAGCCCAAAAACAGGGATAGAAAATCTCGGTGCCGGCTCTAACACGGCTGCAAGGTCATTCCGCTATGACCCCTTCACTGTGCACACTACGGTACAGCTTGACTGCGAGAGAACAAGCAAGGTGGAATTTAATTGGCAATTAATCTCACACGACCAAAACGGGGTTCGAAGCATCCATGGGGCCAACATAATTAGAACTGAAAGAGAACTCAACATACCTAGAAAAGGACTAAGGTATGGTTTATATGAAGTGCACTTTACTGCATGGATGGCGCTGCCTGATACTGACAAGTACCGCAGTACAGATATTGGCTTCCTAAAGATTGTTCCTTCGCCACTAGTAGCAAAAATTGACGGCGGTAATTTGATCACCAGGGGATTTGGTAAGGAAATCATGATCGAAGGGACTCAGTCGAACGACCCGGATATGGAAACCGGACAAGATTCTGGTGAGTATGCGTCGCCGTCGCCGTCGCCGTCGCCGTCTCCTTCTCCTTTTCTTTGTTTTTAGGTAAAAATTGTGGTACCGATATAAAATCGAACCAACAAACCTAATTATACTCTGCCGGCTCAGGGTAGAATAATTGCTAGTACTGTTCTGTAGGCAAGGCCAAATTGGTTTCTTGACCTGGCCTCGTTAGGGAGTAGGGATAAAAAAGATACCAAAATCCATTTGACAACGATACAATAACGATGGAGAAAAGTACCACTTATACTTGATTTTGAGTCTTTGAGCGCTGAAAACTCGAAAGGAAGAACAGTATCTTCACTTAGTTTGGTGTCTGAAACTTTGAAGAAAGACGTTTTAAGTGTCTTAATGCTGAGAATGCTGCTGAATGCATTTGTAAAACAGTTAAGTGTTTGCAAACAAACTTGGCTGATTAGGAAATCGAACCTCTTTCTACTTCCCAGGTCATTTCCTTATTTCATTGTTAATGAACCCATGAAATAAAGCGATAAGCAAGGTTTGACTACGGTGGAGCCGCTCCTTGAAATGGGCCAACCTTCTCTTTTTCAGGTTTACATTACACTTGGTTATGCAGAAGTATTCACACTCAATTCCCCACAATAGTTTATCCAAACATGACCCTGCGATGCCCGTACGACACAACGAAACTAGCAGCAGCTAGCAGTGCACACTCCAGAGGCTGCTATGGTGACGGACAGTTTATCTTTAGTGGTAACAGCGGTACACTAAGTCTTGACACTGCCAAAATGATAGAGAATGAGACTTACGTAGTATTTTTAATCGTACAAAAAGGAGGAAGGACAGCGCAACAGTATCAAGTCATAGAAGTTGTGCCAGGTGATCCACCAGTGACAAAAATTGAGTAAGTGCTTTTAGCGTCCTTCTTCGATTAATGCGTTTTTTTTTTTGCGGTAACCCGTTTCAAAATATTCGGCTTGAAAAAAGAGAAAATACTCAGTTAAACTTGACTCAAGTAAGGTTGCTTTGGGCATTGGCAAGCAAATCATTGCAGTGAGTTCCGTATGCACAAATGTCAAATGCCCAATTGCCAAGCAATATAACTGAATTAAGTACATACGATACTACAGGTGTTTATTTTATTTAAGGGATGGAATCCAGGGCGGCAGCGACAGACGGGCAGTCTTTGCAAACGCACTACCTTGATCAGCTCAATGACCCAAGTCAGCAGTTACGCAAAACTTATGTTCATAAGACGTGGCTGCCCGGATTGTTGTTGCAATAGCCTTTTTTACAAAATCTTATCATCCATTTATATCAAACAGATGTAAACAAAATTGCGCAGATAAAGTCAATCCGTCACAGAGGCTCGCCCTTTTCGCCACCTGCTTTGAGGGATGCATTGGGCGACTGATCTACGAATGGCAAATTTACAAAAACGTCAGTAATGATTCCGCTGCATCCTGGGAGCTTGTGCAAGACATCAGACAAAGCGAAGTAAAGGATCCTAGTGGTCCCGTATTCACGGTCCCCAAGGATGTGCTTGAAGGAGGTACCGGGTACCGTATTCGTCTCTACAGTCGGAGAGAGAAAGGTGTAAGAGGGAAGACTGAAAGTATGCTACTGACGAATGAGGTACCTCGAGCAGGGGCCTGTTTTGCTTTCCCCCTGAAGGGAAATGCACTTATGACTAAATTCCATATTTGGTGCGATGGCTGGACGGATGCAGACATGCCTTTGAGCTACAAGTTTTTCTATAAAAACGAAGGAAGGCTGGTGCTGTTTTACTACGGACTTCACAACTTCACACGCGCAGAACTGCCACTTGGAGACCCAGCTAATAATTATACCATTGAAATTGAGGTGAAAGTGTTGGATTTCTACAAAGGCGAAGCCAACTATTCTTTATCTTTGCAGGTAAGATGTTTGTTTCATCAGACTTCAAGGAATATGTATCTAAATGATTCATAAGTTTGAAATTCTCAAGCGCTCATGTTATTGTCTTAATGATGTAGTCGGTAGAGCCAGACATGAAAGAAGATGAACTTGGTGATAAGCTGGCTGACATGACATCAGGCGAAAACAGCGACTTAGGAAAATTGGTGAGCGTGGGAGACACACAGGCAGCCCTGAGACTCGCTGGTGCTGTCAACTCATTGCTTAATGCCCAGAGCACAAAATCTCCATCTAATGATACTAAGGATATTAGTGCGAGGAAAAAGAAAAGGAAAGCGGTGCGAACAGCAATTGTTAAAGCGGCGACATCACTTCCGGTGAACAGCCTGGATGGATTACAACAGTCTGCCAATATGATCGCGAGTGCGTCGAAGTTTAAAGATGAAACTTCGACTGCGAGCATGGTAAGATAGCTTAGCTTCAGCAGTACTGGGCAATTTTGGCTTCCCGAAATGTTAATGATTTTATTTATCCACAGAAAAAATCTCGCCGTAGTTATCTCATGGTTACAAGGAAAGGCCTTCTTAATGGACATATTCAGAAAGCATAGGGCGAGTAAAGTAAAAGAAGAGAATATCAGCCTCTTAGCTCGCAGACAGTGATTTGCCTTTAGTCTTCTTGTTTAGGCCTCGTCACTTAATCGTTTGATTAGTACTAAATTGGAGCAGAAAATACAACCTACCACGATATTTAGTGGGGCAAATTTATGTCCACCCTAATCCTCCTATCCAACGCACAAGAAAACCTCAACAAAATTCTTAAGAAAGCTGTTTCATATATTTTACTTAATTTTTATTAACATGAACAAAACTAATGAAAGGGATACTCACAGAAGAAACTTTCTTGTTAGAACGCATCAACGGCGGCCTTTGAGAGAATGTCACAGGTATTAAAAGCCAGTTCTGACGATTTAGCGGGCTTTGATGCAGTGGTCAGCGGTGCCGAGGCCCTGTTGTCAGGAATGGGATACGTTCTTAATGCCGCTGGGAGCTCTGTGGTGGTGAAGCCCCCCAAAAGGAATGCCACGGCAGCACCTCCTACCTGTGCACCCTATGATTTTACTTGCACGGAACCTAAACAAGAGGCAAACGGAAATTCTACGGATGAAGAAGAAACTGTAGAACTTGATGAGGAATCTTCAAAGGTTTGCTGCGAATTCGTTCTAGACCTTTTTAGTTTGTATGTTTTGTTCTCCCATTGCAGATCACGTGATGGTACCTCAGAGAACTGTTTCTTTCAGATGTCGTCCTATCCACGTGCATTTAACAAATAAGTCCAATTAACAAATAAACAACAATTTATAATAGCCTATGCTAGTACAGCCTCACGACGTCAAAATGTTCAAAACGCCACAAAGCGGAGGAAACACAAGTCTCCAATGGCTTCACTGAAAAGTTTTGAACTTTTGATTTTATTGCTATAGTCTATAGTAGTCTATAGTATAGACTAGGGAAGTTAGATTTTAAAAGTCCATTTTCAGCGAACATGGAAAACCAGATGTGAGAGACAGAGGAAGCACCATCATTTTGTCATAGTTCTATGGTCTGTGCTCTCACAAACCGTAGCTCTCGACCAAAGAGCGCGCAAGTAATAGTTTAGTTATTGTAAAACACGGTGTCACTTATTTGTAGTCAAAAAGGCTTCCAAGTAATGGTCTCCTGAAATATATCATTTATTTATGAATACCCTACAGAGCCGAGACGCAGCTAACAACATCTTGAACATGCTCGGGAGTGTTGGCGGTTCGGTTCTGGAAAATAAACTTCCGGGGGAACAGTCCAGTGTTATCTCCACTGCAAAGCTAAACATAGCAGTGGAACGTTCTGAACCAGATTCTTTGGGAGGCTCCGCCATAGGCGACGGGCTAGCCGGGTTTCAGATACCTTCTACTGGGAAACTGTTCTCGAGTAACGTTGATGGCACAGTCGACAAAGAGGTACGTGTAAAATTAGATGGTGTGAATAAAAATTCGAATTTTTAATACAGAGCACCATAGAATTTAACTCATGGGAGAAGAACGAATGGAACACACTATATTCATTTAAAGAAACGATGAGTTAAAACAAGAGAGGGAAATGAAGGGGGTTTTGACGGTGACCATCGTATTATTAGAGAGATTTGACGTCTTTTATTTACAAAAAATACCTTTTTGATTTTTATCCAACTGATTTGGTAAATACTAAAACAACTATACCCCGTCAGGGTCGATGAATAGCGCTAGATATATATCGAGACACTTCGCGAAGCGTCTCGATATATATATCTCACCACTATTCACCTCCCCTTCGGGCGCGCCTAAATTCCTCCTTCCCCTTCTAACGCCTGCCACGCAGGCTAGAGATAGTTGTGTAATAGAAAAGGTCTAAAGCGGAGGTCCTGGTCTGCCCGAATACACGAGTGAAATAAACCTATTGTGCCTCGAGTGTGTTGTTAGCTTATGTCTCCATTTCCCCATCAGATGGCAGCCATGAATGAAAATCCCTACACATGGGGCAAAAAGTCTTCAGACATTTCCGGAAAAGTTGTGAGTCTTTCGTTCAAAAGCAAAGGTAAAAAGCTCAAAGTCTCTAATCTGAATGAAGATGATCCAATAGACATTTTCATCCCAAGAGATACTACTGTTGAACCGCCAAAATCATTCGTTTACAACAGCTCTTTACACCACGGATGGCGTGTTCATAAACTGGTGATTGAAAAAAATGGCACCGCGGTGAACGTTGAGGTTGGGTTAGTTGGTTCTGACCAACAATTTGAGGTGTACGTCAGCCGAGCGAAAATTCCTACCATTACAAAGTTTGACTTTTGGAAGGCGTCTCCCAACAAAACGCATCACGAACCATGCAATCTGTTTCGTCATGATGATTCCCCAAACACCACGGAGGAAAGAACGAACACTTCGCAAGAGAGAGTAAAATCATCTGGAGAGTACACTAACTTGACGAAAACGTTAAACAGCTCGAACATTCTGGGGCACCAGGACAAAAGAGAAAGAACCGACTTGAAGATTCAAGATAGCGAAGTATCGCTGTTTCTTCCTCAAAAAGACCTGTATGTTGGAACTTACTACATAGGAATTAAGTTTACAGAAACGCTCCAGGGTCGTGGCTGTTACCACGGAGATTACAACATCACCTACACGCTGCGGACGTTTAAATCAAGATGCTTATACTGGAACGAGGAGCTTCAAAAGTGGAAGAGTGATGGTTGTCAGGTAAGAAATAAATCAGTTGAACATGGGCCATGATTTTATCGATTTCCCAGTAAATAATTTTTTTCAAAAACATAACGCAATGACCTTACACGTGTTAGCGATACGTGTACGGGCCCCTCAATGGTGGTATGTGTGGTATGAGGAGCCAAGAAATTTACAACCTCAGTGCGTCTTGTGGTTACCGGAGTCAGAAGTTAACTTTATTTTAATTAAGGTAACAACTTTGGAAAGTCACTCCTCACTTCACATATCGATGTAGGGAAAGTTGGATAGCCTTACTATACAACCTGTACAATCTTGTCATCTTGAAAACCCCGCTGTTTAGTTTGGTATATTTTGCCTAGGGAGAACGCAGAAGTACCTTAAGCCGTTCGTCACCGTCAAATGCTTTATTTATTTCAAACAAGAAAGAGATGAAGAAGGCATTTTAAAATGTTAAGGCCTGTTTCAAATGTTTTGCAGAATTCATTTCACCATAATTGGCATGAAGTATCATGTATCCGCAATAAGCTCTCATATAGTTTTCTTTTGGCTTACCACAACTGAATCTAGTTCGACACTACGACGACAACATGTACAAGACGTTTGAATCGGGCCTACTAACTACCGTTAACACGGCTTAAACACGGCTTTTAACCTTCTTCAAAATACAGAATCTTAATATCTTTATCTAAATACAGGTTGGTAATTTGACAAGCATTACTCAAACTCACTGCCGTTGTACACATCTGACTGCATTTGGTTCAATGATGGATGTGGCGCCAAACCCGATCGACTTCAGCGCTGTAATGGATGGTTTTAGTTCAATGTTTGAAACTGGAAATGTTACAGTCTTCTTTTTTATTCTTGTCATATTTCTTACTTATGTTTTGGTCTTGGTCTGGGCTAGAAGAGCTGACAAAAAAGACTTGCAGCAGGTAACGCATTTTCTTATTTAAACATTTAACGCAACTGTGGGTGACGCTCGGCAGAATTTGAGATTTAAGAGGTCAATTTTTACTACCAGGTTAACTCTCCCCACCGCTCAGTTATTGCTTAGTCAAGCAGCGGATCTATAGGAGGGCTCTATCTCCCGTTTTTGTAGAATCTGCCCCGTTCGGTACAAGTCGCGATCGGCCAAAAAGACAAAGTCGACTCAATAATTCTCCAATCAAGAAACTTTTAAACCATTGATGTCGGAGTGGGGATTACTGAAAGCCACTAATTAAGTGTCTCTAGGCTTTAATATTCCTTAATCATGCAAAACCAATGGATTAATTTTGATTCCACCACCCTCCCCCTCTTGTCCAATTGAAAACTCATACAGTCAGCCCTGATCCCTAAGAAGTCAGCTTTAGAAGGACCATATAAACAGCCGCTAAAAAGCCCCTTCCCAAGTTATAACCCTATCTATGTAGTAATAAAAAATTTAAAAAAAATCCGTTTATAAGCCCCTCCTAATTTTGTTTTAAATGTATTGAAATAAATTCGATTTATGAAGTTTTAAGGCTTAAATGCAACGCGTATTTTGATCAGCACTGCTAATTGGCTTGTTTATTTATCATTACTCCTCCTCCGTACTGTAAAGGTCGAATCGTCTTCTTTACTTTTCCGCCCTCTCCTTAGATTGGGGTCACTCCTATAGCCTCAAACGTACCTTATGCAACTTACCACTATGAGCTTACGTTTTTCACTGGTCAGCGGAGAGGGGCTGGTACAACAGCTCAAGTGTCGTGTCTATTGGTTGGTGAACGCGACGACAGCGGAATCTGCATCTTAAAAGATGACAAACGCCCGACATTTAAACAAGGCAGCGCTAATGCTTTTTTAATCTCCGTTGCTGATTCTTTGGGTTCACTTGCTTCGCTCAGGGTTTGGCATGATAACCACGGATTGGCACCTGCTTGGTTCCTGAAGCGTGTTTTAGTGCGGAATCTACAGACAGACGCCGTCACCGTGTTTATTTGTGAGCGATGGTTCGCACTAGAAGAAGATGACGGTGCTATCATGCGCGAGTTAACCCCTGCGTCTGAAAAAGACCTTACAACGTTTTCAAGAGTCTTTAACAGTAAATTGTACAAAGACTTCACAGATGCTCACCTGTGGTTCTCAGTGCTGCTAAAGCCATCGCGGAGTAGTTTCAATCGATCTCAACGCGCCTCTTGTTGTCTCTGTCTCCTGTGCACGGCCATGGTAGCAAGTTGCATGTTTTATGGGCAAAACACAACCTCGGACGAGTCGGCGAACCTGTTGCTGGGGCCAATCGAAATTAACTTACGTTCAATCATGATCAGCATTCAGTGCAGCCTCGTTATTATTCCTGTAAACGCTGTTGTGGTGGCCATGTTTAAGAGCATCAAACCTAAAAAGGTAAAAGAGACAAAACAAGACAGTGAAGAAGAAAAGCCAGAGGAGTCCCTTTCAGCAGACAAAGAGGAATTTTCTACAATTGATATTAACCCTAGATATGAAGAAAACTCTCTGAAAGAGAAAGAAGTTCCTCTGGATTGTGTCAAGTGTGACATAAATGAATTATGCGGCTCAAAAAATGACGAACTGGTCATGGAAAAACAACCAAAAGGAATTTTTGGTGGCAAATTTTTGTTGTTCGGAAGCAGAAAACAAGATTACGTTTTGCAACCGACAAGCGTCGACTCAAAGGAGTAAGTATCGTTTACATATTTGGTAGTAACCTAAACCTACCGATATTGTAAAAACAGAAGAGAGTGATAGGGTGGAACCGGTAAATACGGCCATCCCTAGACCCTAAAAATCAGGTCGTATGAACTGGGTAGCATCAATATAAAAACTTAGCCTTTCTGAACTGTGATTGCTTGGCTCATCACTCAGCCAGTCTCACCAGGAATTCGACTGGTCGTATTAATGGGATACACTTGTGAGGATTATAACGACTTGGGAGTCCAAAACTGTTGATGGCCGACGATCGTAGTGGTGGGGAGGTCATATTATATTCTGCGTAGCTTGAGAAAACAGCCGACATTTCACGACACCACCAGTGGTTCTCCCACGAACTGACGTCTGAGAAACGAGCACAGAAATTCTATACTGATGACGCGTCACTTCCCAGATCTGGGTAGTGCTTCTAATTGGTTGAAGCAAATGTTTCACTCGGCACGTCCAATCAGAAGGACGCGACATCAGTATGGAAATTCTGCGCTTGTTTCTCAGACGTCATTCCGTTAGGAAACCAGGGCTGGCGTTGCGAAATGTCGGCTGTTTTCTCAGATTATACCGTGCGTAGCAGGCGCAAAAAGCGGAGGGGGAGGGGAGAGAAAAAGCGAAAGGGAAAAGAAGGAGGGAGCGCTTACAAAACATCAGGTAATTGGAGTGTATTAATTAAAGAATACCGAAACATGAGCTTGGAGGTGAGAACGGGTTATTATTCTTTCGTAGCTGTGAAAAGGTACAGGAGACCTCAGAAGTCTCTTCGGAGGAGAAGGAGAAGACGAAATACTGGTTTTGGGGAAAAGGAAAGAACGACGAGAGCGACAAAGAAAAGAAGAAAGAGAAGAAAGGACAAGGATTCCTACCACATTGGTGTTTGTACATAGCTTGGTTTCTATGCATCTCTGCGTCCATTACATCAGCTCTTTTCACGTTGTTTTATAGCATGCAGTGGGGAAGAGACAAGTCCAATCAGTGGTTTGTGTCCATGGTACTGACCTTTAGTCAGGACACACTTATAAACCAGCCTGCTAAAGTTCTCTTACTTTCTACTGCTTACGCGATTTTCATAAAGAAAAGTGACGAGGAGAGTGATCTTGAACAGAGTAACGAAGATCCAAGAAAAGGTAAGAATAGCTCTTCCAGCATGGTGTGACTCAGGTGTTTTTCTTTTCCAGGCCCATGTATTCAATAGATGGATAGTGCTATCAACCGGATAAACCGCTATCCAGTGGATAAGTATTAGGGAAACCAGTTGCGTTATCCATTGGATAGTGATTTAGCCACCTTTTGAGTAACTGGCGCCAGACGATTCTGATCGATAAAATGCTTTAAGTGCTAAAAGAGGGTAACCTAATTCAACCACACAAAATGCACATTCCTTTCAAATTTTCCATCCGACGAAAGAAACGACATCTTGTACTTTTTGCCAGTATAGGCACAATACACAGTCCATCATATCATCTGAAATCAAACTATTCACAGGCAACTTTTTTGCCGAAAAACAGTGAAATGAAGACGGGAATTTTACACCGATCGAGGTTAGCATGTGCAAAATATTTTGAAAGTAATAAAACAATTACTGGATAAGGAATCATTATGGCATGAAGAATTAAGCGATAGAGGAGGATTTCGGATGACTTCCTCCTCGATTTTCATAATTCGTCATATCATACTCAGCCTCGTCAAATAACTGCTCAGTGTCTCTAAACGTGATGGAGAACGGGGGAGTTTCAAGCCTCAATTTTCGTGGCAAACATTACAAAGCAATTGGGTTCAATGAACATGGAAGTTTATTTTAAAGTCATCCAATCAACTTGCAGTTCGTGTTTTACGGCGTCTCAAGCGCTGTCTTTTTAACTTGATAGAACACTCGTGCTTGTTTATTGGATTTTTTTTTCAAACGCAGGTGTAGACGAAGAGTGGATTCACTCATCTCAAGAAAATGGAATAGGGGATCAGGATGCCAGAGAAATAGAACTTCTTCGCTATCGACCACCTGACGAGGGCACATTAAGTGCTTTGCGTGAAACTCAAGTTAGACAAAAGGAAATTAAGAGGAAGTTTATCAATCTTGGAGATTATCTTTTTATCCTGCTTGTCCTGGTATTAGTCAGCTATGGTAATAGAGATCCAGCATCCTTCACAATGAGAAATTCTCTGGAGCAGGAGTTTATGCATCCTCTTACCGCCTCCTTTCCCCAGGGTCTTGACGATGTAAGTTAGGCTAGGTTTATACGGGAGGATATTTTTCTGGATTCATAAACGTTTTCAGGTTTAATATATTTAGGGTGCTCGGATTCAAAGACGTTTTCTCACATCAGAAGATTCATTGCGACACAGAAGTATTCCGCATGCAGCATCTCCGCATAGGCGACCACAATGGGACGTTTTTATTTCGGATTCAGTCATCTGCGCGTAAACGGCAAACCAAACTGGTGTAAAATGTTCCAGATTCGTAACGATTCCGAAAAAAAGTCTCCTCTAGTGTTAACATAGCCTTAGACAGTTATTCGTACATTGTGTGTTAACACTTGCCTAGAAAAAAAAACACACAACAATAACGAAAAACACATATGCTGCCGGATACGCAAGGAATGTATGGAGTCGCTAAAGTTTCTTATCTCCCCAGCCAAAAGGCACACTGTTCGATATCTGTTGACAAACAGTGTAAAACGCCCTGATGAATTTCGACGATGAGTTGAACGAGGAAAAGGTGGACTCCTTTGTGTTCGAGTTGCAACTTTTTGAGCAAGTTGCATGTTGTTTAACTAGTTGCAGTTTTCTAACCGACGACAGTCAGTCTCAATTGAAAAATGCTGATGTTTTTGTTCTACTTATTCAAACAAGCTGCAATATGGCTCGCCGCTTGTCTAACAACATACACTGAACGGTGAATCCTTCTTTCAATTGGACTTTTCTGGCGTTTAATCTCTACTTTGTATTTAAGGTGCTCCAATCACTCACTCACTCACTCACTCGCTCAACCAATCATAGTTTTGACGAATTAAATCAAGCAGGCGAATCAAAAGTCAACAAACTAGACTACTATGTATGACGAATGAATAATATGGTCTTTGTTCTTAGGTCAATAATCTACCACTATTTTTGCAATGGGCACAGCACTCATTAATTCCCTTCCTTTACGAAGAGGATTGGTACAACGGAGAAAAAGTGACAAACAGGACTGGCTTTTCTTCCGGCAGAGCGTCCATGCGACTTGGCAAGATACGACTTCGACAGGTTCGGGTTAAAAACGGTAAGTGCTCACCTACAGAGAGGCCTACTTGGATACCATGTCAATACGTCACTTCCCGACCTGGGTCGGTCCGCATTCGCGGTCGGTCGCCTTCAGCCTCGGCTCTACTCGACCCCTCGAGCAGAGTATTTTTATGCGGACTTCCCCGCCAATTAACAACATATACTTGATACACCTTCCCCGTATTAGAACCGTAACAGACTCCAAACCTCGCCGAACTTAAGTCTGGTTGTGTACATGAGACTTTCCAAGTTTCAAATAGGTCTCAGTATTTGTCGTCTCCAGTAGAAAAATTAATTAGGTAGATAGGAGTCGTTACCCAGTTCCAGTAAAATTATGACAGGTTTTCACCTTCTGTTCTTAGTTCAGCTCTTTTGAAAGCATACTATTAGATGTTGAGAACTAAAGGGACGTTTTGTATCTTAACACAGGTAGCTGTTCTGTGCCCAAAATTATAAGAGAAGCAAATCTGATCCAAGAATGCAATCCCTCATATGACGTATCACAGAACGAAGAACGAAAGTACAGTCCCGCATGGAAAGGTGGTATTGCAGTGGACGAGGACACCCCAAAGGTAAACAAAAGGAATGGAAAGGGATTGCTGTCTCCGTGGGTTTACATGGACGCAGCGGAATCGAATTCATCACTAACTTATAACGGTAAAATTTCCTTTTTCCCGAGTGGGGGATATGTGGCCGAATTTGGTGGTACGGCTGAGGAAACCAAGGCGTTCCTTACTTATTTGAACTCTCATCACTGGATGGATAAATACACCAGAGCTATCTTTATTGAGGGAACAGTATATAACCCAAACGTAAATCTAATAGGAGTAATGGAGACTGTCATTGAGTTTACTTCCGCTAATATTTTGTTACCACGAGTAAACTTCATGATATTCCGGTTGTACGCTGACCTTAATTCTTCATATGCATTTTATTCGGCTTGCGAATTCTTGTTCTTTGGAATTCTTCTCTACACTTGCTATACCATCATAAAAGGCATCTACCAGCGAAGAAAAGAATATTTCCGCAACGCTATCAGCTGGTTGGATATGATTTTCTTCTGCAATGGCATTGCTATAGTTGTAGTCTACATATTACGGGAAGCCCGTCTAAAAAGCGCCATTGGTGTCCTTAAAAAAGATCAAGAATCGTTCCTAAACTTTTCGGAGTGTGCATTGTGTAGTGAAGAACTCGTGTTTCTATTCGCGTTTGCCGCTTTCATTGCCATATTGAAATTTATCAACTTTTTAAGCTTCACCCGATGCGTTCAGTTGTTATCGACCACAATTTTCAGATCGATTGTTGAGCTGCAATCCTTCGCTGTTATGTTGCTGGCTATTTATATGGCATACGCGTCAATGGCATTCACCATTTATGCCCCGTATTTGGAAGAGTACAAATCCGTTCCGTCCACGCTTGGTGCTTTAACTTGTGTTGTAATGGGGGTGTTCGATTACACAGACTTTACGTCGATAACTGATTACAAAATCGTGGGCTACTTCTTTTTTGCGTCTTTTTCTACGAGCATGATTTTCATCTTCACAAATATCGTTATAACTATTATCAACATTGTACACAAAGACGTGTGCGAGGACGAAGAACTTAAGCAGGAGGAAGGAAACTTCTTCAATGCCATACTTGACCGTCTTGTAATTTTAATGGGATTTCGAGGTCCCCCAAAACGAGAAGAGCCAATAATTCAGGAACCGCCCATCGCAGAACTCCAATGGAAATTGAACGTACAATATATAACAGAAAATCAGTTAAAAAGGCTTGACGGGCTAATTAATTCCCTCTATACTCACGATGCAATGCAAGATGTACTAATAACAAATTATCTTTATCGTAAGCGAGAAAAAGAAACCCAGTCTGCACCAATTATGACTGACGGTGATCGCGACAGTGGTGTTGTTGAACAGGCCCTTGAATGTCAGGAAAGGCTTCAAGCTAAAGTCGACGTTAACGTGAACCAAAAATTACCAGCAAAGACCAAATCCACCCACCCAGAAACTGCATTAACTTCACCAAATAATTCGACTGAGGCTATTACTCAGTTAATTGCCAAGAAAAGAGAAGAACTGACACTATTGCAAGAAGAAGGAAATTCCAATGAAAGGGAGATACTGCTGCGTGTTAAAGTTATCAAATGCCTCCAGGAATTGCTGGAAAAAGCCTCCGACAATAATGAGCCGGCAAGACTGCATACCTATAGTGACGAGCAGTTACTAGTCTAGTTTTCGACATATTTTTATTACGACAGACTGTTTTTTCAGGGCTCAAACTGCGAGCAGTCGTCTTTTCCCGTCAGATTAAGGGGACGCGCGAGCTGAGTACGCTCATACGCCGCTGCCCTAGTTCGTCTCACGTGCGGAGTTTATTCTCCTTCACACTCTCTTTTTTTTATATAAGAATGTTGTTTTCCCGACCCTGGCTGAATATTCCTATTTTGCCGATTTTAGGCTGAAAATATTCCCGCATTATTCTTAAATTAGAGCTTATGACATTTCCTTGTTAGAATATATTAGGGTATTACTTATAGTTAGTGCAGGTTTTGTCGTTAAGTTGGTAAGTTTTGCCGTTTAGAGAATGGAATAAGTTGAAAACAATAGGCCAATTCTGATATACTAAAATTCATACTTGGCTGCGAGGCTTGGGAAAATAAAACAAAAGAAATCATCTTGAGGCTCGGCAATGAATAATACATTTCCTTTTCCCCCAAGCCTCGGAGCAAGTATGGATTTCAATATACCGAAAAAGGTCTATTGTATTGCATTTACAGTTTTCGAACGCACAAAATTATATCCTTTTCAGAATCTCAGTCTGGGGTTTATTCTCAAAATATTCTTAAAATTTAGCACATTTCAGCCTCGATACTCTTAAAAAATATATTCTTATAGGAGAAAAAGAGCGTACAGAAATAGGACACAAACGACGTAAATACTCGCATTCTATGCAGGTTTTGAATTTAATGTCCATTAAGTGAAACTGACATTTTTATTTTAAATAAATCAATTCTAATGCGTGTTACATTTAAAGTGATCCGGAAGTCCCAGTAGCTTTGACCGTACGGTAATTCTGTGTTTTCATCGTTTATTTGTTTGGTTGTCTAAACGGACACAATTCACATCAATAAAAAACAGACGAAAACTACAGAGACAATATTTTCTTACCATAGCAAAGTTGATATTGACGAAAATAGGGCAGCCAAGGGAAGCGAGAAATGCTTACGCAGTTCAGTAGAGGGCAGCGAGAAATTTTGAGGTGAAAAAGCAGCGTTTACAGGGTAGGCAAACAAGGACGCCAAACAGAAAGTCAACGAAATTTTATTTTACATCGAATTTTACCCACTCAAGAAATAATTTACATTCTACCTGGAAACAATGAGTCTACAAAATAATGCATTTGGTCTTAGCGCTTGCAAAGTTGTACTCATAGCAAAGATAAGAAACTGCCTCTCTCAGGAGGCAGAGGAGAAAGCGATGAAAGCGAGCAAGAATTGTCAGAGTGGGATGAGTCAGATGAAAGAGAAAATGGCCTTGAATCACGCAATGAGGATACAGAAACTGAGGAAAACGAACGTTATTCCGGTAGGTGCCTAATGAATACGGCAGGCGTCATACATTCTTCAATCGGAGTGTCTCCGCCACTTGTAGCAAAAGGGAATATCCGTTTACCGGTGATGAATGCTAGATCTGAACAATCAGGCTAACTCTAGTTACCGTAAAATTCCGAAAATACGCCCCTCCATTTATAAGCCCCCCAAACTTGAAACAAAAAAACCCCGCCGTTAAATAGCCCCTCCGAATATAAGCCCCCGGGGGCTTATACTTCCCTCAAATGCAAAATTAAACAAAACGAAAACGCTACAGGAACAAAACTTTATATTTTTACCAAAGAATTACTACGTATATCAAATGTCAATAAAGTTCACAGTTTATTGATGTTTCCGAAGTTCATGCTTCACTCTTTGCTTGGATGTTTTCAGCCAATAGACAAAGTACTTGCAGGGAAGCTCTATTCCGCCACCCTGCACCCAAACTCCTTCTGGTGTTCCTCGAT